ATTAGGTGACACAGAAATCTTTCTTTTCCAGAGACCAGGGGATGGGTTAGCCACAGCTTTCCGCGATTAGTGCTATTAAGTTGGTCTTTGTTCGGAAGCATCGTTGGAGAAAGGATTTAGACATATCCTTTCGGAACCGTGCGCTATCACCAGCAAAGTTCTAACTTGCGTGTCGCTAGCTTCTGGACTTCCTTCCGACCGGGTGGGGTCCTTGGTGCTGTAACGGGTTATAACTGGTCTGGCTACAATATCGAGTTTGAGATGCGCCCAGCGCGGTGGCCAGTGTTCTGCAATGCGTCTGCAGACCCTGGAGTCGAATTCATTGAAGGTTGACCCCTCTGGAAGGACTAGCATTGCGCTCGAGAATGCATTCCTGAAAGGTCAACAACGAGACCTTTGACTTTCGTAGACTTGGTGATAACCCGCGTGTTTCGGTAGATGTCAGCCAATAATCTGGTGACTTTTGAACTTGTGATAAGGGAATCCATAGCCTTTTTGATGAAGCACTCCAGGTCGCGGTATCTCCCCCCTCGAAAAGTTGTCTTGTCTCCGATTCAACTTCTTGTAGCAGTCTCCAATTTAGTTAACAGTTGCTAGGCCTACCTGATGCTTGATGCGAGGATTCTCAATCCGGACATCATGCACTGCTTGAAGCTCTCAGGCAATGTTTCTTGTCCCTTTGATTGATAACAGTCATTGCACTCCATAGACGAATCCTAGTGCGACGAAACTCGTCATACTGTCTGCACTCCAATTGTGAACACCCTTCCGCAATCATCGACGAATGACCTCTCGGATAGAATATAGGAGAATTCAGTCTTCCAAACAGATTCTGAGGTTAAAATGGATTGATAAGAACTTATAGCTGGACTTGTCGATTCAACAGTCTGTATATTAACTTGCGATAAAGGAAGGGGTGATCTCCTTGTGACGCTTGATGCAAGTAGGCCCCTCTATTGCAGACGAAATATTGCGTGATGAATGTTTCTGAGCAGGCCGAGTTCAAGACTTACGAAGATATTTATTTTTTCCTCGAGGATTGCGATTTACGAATCCGAATGTACTAGCCGTTGATTTGTGGAGCTTTAGTCGCCCCTTAGGAGACTTAGGGGGAGAGGAGAGGGAGGAGGCTGAGGGTACTACCTCTTGAGATGTTGTGGACTGGAAACTCTCTATCAGAACTCAACTCCACATTTCAATGGACCGACCGGACGCAGCAAGACCAGAAACGCTCGAGATCGTGCACGGCAGTTTGTCGCTTTGCCGAACACTCAATGCCGTTCATGCAGAATGAGCTAAGAACAGATGTCAATGTGCCTTTTTCTGCACTTGCACCAAGATAGTGCCACAATCATTCTATTGGAAGGCATGTACTAGCGATCGATAGTGGTTACAGTCAGTGTGGGCTGTGTATGTAACAAGTAACCGAGAACGATTCGGACTGTCAGTCTGTCAGATTTTGACTACGTGTACTAGCTACCAGGTGAAACGACATTTCCAGAGATTTCTGACAAGTTGAAAGTTGCATAATGGATCTAAGTAAATCCTTGACCTCAAAACCCCAAAATGAAACTTTTTGAGAAAATAGCCGATATAGTTGAAGAACCCATTTTCGGACCGAGATGGTGAACCCGAAGCGAACGGAATATCCGTGACCTTTTGAGCAAATTGAGGTTCCAAACCACGCCCAATCGAATTCCTTAATGTTTAAGACCCCCAAAATCTGCTCTAACTTTTGCTCAAGATCGACCAAAGAAGCGGCAAAGATAGTGCAAAATAAACAGTGTCGGGTCGCCTTACCGGGCCCATAAGGAGGGTGGAGGACGTTCTCCGGGTCAAATTTTGGGCTCTTCAGAAAAAAAATTCTTAGTTGACGGAAACATGATGAACCAATTTGACCCTTAAGAAATGCTTTCATAATTTGGCAGATTTGGGCTCTAGTTACGTGCATAAAGCCTCACTGACTAGTATTGGGCGCGCGGCGCCACATGTGTGTGGTTTGTGTTTGTGTGTTTGCTGCTTTTTTGTGATTTGATATATATAGTATATATATATTAATATAGTATATATATATCACAATTAAAGACAAAATATAGTGTATATGTAGTAAAAAAGTAGGTAATAGTGTATGTAGTTATGTAATAAAAGATTAGGTAACAGCACTATATAATTATTATCATATATAAGATTGTGTTAAAAAGTGTATCAAACTGCTCGCATTACCTGGGGTGTCTGGCTAGGGATGCCTCACGTTGATTCCATGCTGGCAGGGTTATTGTGATAGTCTTCGTATCCATCCCGGTATTTCGGCCCGTTAGGTTGAGTCCGTTATGGTTGAATGGGTGTTTAGATTGTGGAACCAATAGGCTTCTTTTTTCTTTCTGATTGCGGTCGTGTGTGGATGTTCGGGGGGGTCGAGAATATTTTTTCAATGCCCTTGCACTGAAAATCCCGCTGCGGTGTGGTTGTCGTTGTAAAATGAGCACTGACGGGTCTGCTCAATGTTCTCGTTTTGGTAATGTCACGGAGGTGTTCAACGCTCTCTTGCCTGCTAACTTAACGCTCTGTTCATTGCTAACTCGTTGTAGCAATTTCTTAAACGAAACTTTTTTTATATACATTTATAATGGCAACAACAAACCATCAAGCTAAATCCCCGTGGTAGCTCAGTCGAGCTGTGCCCCGTAGAGGCTGTCCAGGCCTTTTCTACACATATGTCCCTTATATATATACTATATATATATATATATATCAGGAGTAAATAATAGGGTTAAATCAGGATTAAATTCCCTATTATATCTACTCCTGATATATATGTTACTAATCTAGCTATATAGGGTACTATAATGCCCTGCAACACAAATGTTGTAGTGCACCATGGTGCTTGTGCTGTAACAATTTATAACATGCCACGTCACCCGTAAACTAAGACCCTTGTAACTATTATTTATAGCATCATGCCAATTATACGCCAACATATGTGTATTATAATACGCCTAATATATATGTTACTAATCTAGCTATAGGTATTAATGCCCTGCACAACACCAATGTTGTAGCGCACCATGGTGAATGTCCTGTAACAATTTATAACATGCCACGGCACCCGTAAACTAGTATTAAAATGAGCACTCTTTGTAACTAGTATCATGCCAATCATACGCCAACGTTGGCCCAACGTTTATGCAGCCAACCATTTGCAACCGTGGACCATGCTAACCATACGCCAACGTTGGCCCATGTCATGCAGCCAACATTTGCCAACCGTGACAATGCCAAACCATACGCCAACGTTGCCCAACGTCATGCAGCCAACCATTTGCCAACCGTGACCATGCCAACCATTCTTCCAACGTTGGGCCCAACGTCATGCAGCCAACCATTTGCCAACCGTGACCATGCCAACCATTCGCCAACGTTTGGCCCAACGTCAGCTAGCTAAACCACTTGTCAACCGTGACCATGCATAGCTAATGGCACATGCTAATTAGCTACCCGATTGCTTTTGCAGTTCCAATATAGTGGCAATCTTTGTTGCAGAAGTTTTCTTTAATTGGTGTGACGATGTAAACAGGTTATCGGCTAAAATCTTGAAACCTTTATTGTCTGGTGAGAGTTTTACATAGTTTTTGCCACAACACTGCCACGTAATCCTAGGTCACTTCTAGAGCATCCAGCGTTTCCCTTGATAATTATCAAAGTCATGATAGCAAGCCCAGTAGGCCACGCCTCTGTCACACCTAGCCCAAATTTAGCCCGTAGGGTCTATGTCTCCCTGGGTACTGCCGGAACGTACCCTGGGTAGGTCTGGTATACGGAACGTACCCTGGTACTATCTAATGATGCCGGGACCGTACCTCGCCTACTCCACTAACGAGTCTAGGGAGTCGCCTACGCCTACTCCCTAACCCTAACCCTAACCTAGCTCTTAGTAACTATAGCCGCGTAGTAGGCCGCGTACAGTTGCATGCCGCTACCAGCGGCATCTGTACGTGGCTATAGTTACTATAGAGCTTACCCTTAACTCTAATAGGGTATATGTTTTACATACGTTTACCTATTTTGCACACAGGTGGTCGATCGTGTGAAAAAATTGTTGTGACGATTTTTTTTATTGAGACGTTCCAAGTGCCTGTGCTTTCATCAATCTGTACGTCAATGCACGTGCGTCAAGAGCCATAAACTCAACACAATTTCATCTCTGTTATTGTTTACGCCTGAATGCGTGATTAATCAAGGAGGGGGTGCATGTAAGACTCAGAAGCAGACATTTTCTTTGGGATTCCGAAAAACACAATTTCACTTGACAATTTTATGGGCCATTTCAATTGGAAGCTCTGCCATACATGTGGACCCCCAACAAGCCCTTTGACTGACTAGTTAAGAATTGTATATTGCTCTTATTTAGCCGCCGATAGTTCTTATTTAGAACAAAGTCTTCATTGTTATCTTCTAAAACTAGAGACCATCCGCTAACCGATGTGGAGACGTGCGCCGGGCCTCGAATTTGGCGCACGTTTTCACTGCAAACAGCGCTTCATACTTGAACATCCCGCGGAACTGCGCGTCTCATCCGCGCGCAGCGCTCAGGATCAACAGAAAAGCTGTGCCACGCAATCTTGTATCATGTCTCTCTGGATGTCACTACCAGACAATCACAAATACAAGGCCTATAGATAAACACTTTTTCTGTTTATCCATGTGACCCACTAAACATAAGAAGCACTGGCATGTAGCTGGTTGGTCTCAGCAACCTAAATATGTTTTTATTACCTTCATAACCCAGTGTCCCAGTCACCTAGTGACCCTATTTGTGCAAAACCTGTAAATAACACATAGCGTGATAAACAGAAATAGTATTTATCTATAGACCTTGTATTTGTGACTGTCTGATAGTGACATCCAGAGAGACATGATACAAGATTGCGTGGCACAGCTTTGCTGTTGATCCTGAGCGCTGCGCGCGGATGAGACGCGCAGTTCCGCGGGTTCTATAATAGCTACTCAGTGTGTGTACTACAGTCCAGCAAGCATGACGACTAGTGATATTATAAAACCTATGGGTATGTCGCATTTATATTAGATTCATATGTTATATATAATACCGTTATAGTAATGTGTGATAGAAGCAGAAATGCTTCTGTATATTTATCTGACTGCATAACCATTTCATACATAAAGGTGCCCTCACACCATAGCGTATGCTGAAACCTATGAGTTGCGTGTAAAAAAACATTTTTTATACGCACCAAACGCAACCCAAATCAACAATTTTGTTGATTTCTAACCTATTCAACCTATGCATGGGTTGCGTGTGAGTTGCGTGTGGGTTGCGTGTGGGTTGCGTGTGGGTTGCGTGTGGGTTGCGTGTGGGTTGCGAACTGAACTTATGATCCCCCCAATATCTGCGATCACCTGCGTACGAGTTGCGTGCGAGTTGCGTGTGAGTTGCGTGCAGAACTTACGAGTTGCGTTTGAATTGCGTTCAAAACTTACAAGTTGCGTTGGACCTGCGTGCTAGTTGCGAATATCGGTCACGTGGTAAAAACCTGTATAAAAACTCCATAAATATCCATCTCTCCAGGGTCCAGCGATGATGACACCGTTGTTCTCCACACGGTCGAGCTGCTGATTCTGTAGACCAGGGTAGCGTATCCTCATGAGATTGTGCAGGCAAATGCAGGTTTTGGTTACGAACTTGAAATTTTCTGGAAGATGCTGCATGGTGCCAAACATAACCTGGAATCGGTTGGCTAGGATGCCATTTTCCACAACCCTCCTGGCACGGGAAAGCCGGTAATTGAAGACCCTGTGGTTATCATTCAGGCCACGGAGTCCGTCGGGCTTCATCATGGTTTCTCTAAGGGCGAATATGCATCGTGTCCGATGAAGTAGTAGGGTACATCCTGGGTGTCATTGGGTAGAGGATCTGGTCGTGGAAATCCGATGTTATCCCCTTCCACACATTCCTTCAGCTAGCAGTTATTGTAGATTTGGGCGTCTGATAAAGAACCCAAACCACCCAAGTCTGCCCAGATAAATTTGTAATCAGCATCTACGAGGGCCAGGAGCACTACAGAGTAGAACCCCTTGTAGTTGCAATACATGGATCCACTGTTGGGGGGACACCTGCATGCCACGTGCTTCCCATCTAGGGCCCCACATGTATGGGGAAAGTTCCACCTCTTCATGAAGTTGTCTGATATGGCACGCCATCCCTCAGGAGTGGTGGGGCAGGTCATCACCTCCTCCATGTACTCATCAATGATGGCTTGGCAGACCTCACGGACCACGACTGAGATGGTGTTGTCTGGTACCCTCCATCCGTACTGCATGTCGGAGTACTTGGTACCCGAGGCCAGGTGCCGCAAAGTGACTGCCAGCTTCAGGCCAGGGTCCAGGGGCAACCTGTACTTGGTCTTTTGCATCGTGATGCGAGGACCAACTCTCCGTAGCAGCTCATCGTACATCTCGGGGGGCATCCTCATGAAGTTCTTGAATGCACCTTGGTCTTCGTTCCAGAGCTCCACCAAAAGCTGGTCGTAGAGACCAAAGTGAAGGCGCCTGCTAATCCATGGTCTAACCCACACTCTTCTTCTTATTTTTCTCCCCCTTCTGGTTATTCTATTCTGTATGTGTTGGAGTGCTAAATTGACCAGATTAAACTGATGTCCAATAACAGCAAGAGGTAGCTCCATGTTGTCACCTCGGAGGTCCACTAACAACTGACACCGATCTAGAAAAGGCCCACTATTTATACCATTTATCAACACGCATGTAGTACGCAACTAACACGCAACTCACACGCAACTAATAGGTTGGATACGCAGGGCATAGGTTGGGGATACGCTGGGAATGCGCACAGTAGGTTGGGGGTACGCTACACACGCAACAGGATCGCAACAGGCAGGCGACACGATCGCAACATGATCGCAACAGGTACGCAACACATTCGCAACATGTACGCTACCAAAACCTGGCCAGATACCTCAAATTTGGACCTGCAATCACCTGCGTTCATAACTTATGAGTTGCGTACCAGTTGCGATCGTGTTGCGATCGTGTTCCGTGCGTAGCGTACCTGTTGCGTCCCTGTTGCGTATAAATTAATCGCAGGCATTCGCAGAGAATTATTGAACTGTTCAAAATTTCTGAACTTACTCTGCGTGTGTCTGCGATCACCTGCGTGCTTGTTGCGTACTTAAAACCTATAAAACCTATTAGTTGCGTGTGAGTTGCGTTCGGAACTTATGCCCACTATTTTTCATTCGCAACCATACGCAACTGGTGATCGCTATGGTGTGAGGGCACCTTTAAGGTGTTTTCCATATTACCTCGATAACCTTATAACTCTAATCTTTAAAGTTGCGTATGTAAAACGGTAATAAAGTTCGTTAGTTAAATTTAGGACTGGCTCATGCCATTTAGCAAGCTGCATCTATCTGATTATATGTCTGATTCGATAAAAGCAAATATCGTGCCCATTTTGTACAAGCACCGCATAACGGTTACAAGGTTTACTTCTAGATATCACAGTATTTTGGGCACATTTCTACCAAATTTCGACATATAATTATAGTACTAATATGTTACTCAAGTCAACATTCAAATCACGTTCGATATCTGATGATAAAAACGTATACTGTAAATCGATAAAGATATTTATTGTTCAGTTCAGTAATAACCGTGCGTGGTTTATAACGCAGGACTTGTCGTGTCCCGGCCCAGAATACCCCCATATATCCCCAGCCAGGCCAGTATCGCCGGCAACACCTCGCGGCGCCGGTATCGCGGCGCGGGTATCGGCGGCGGTATCGCGGTATGGCGGGCAGTTAGCGTCGGGCCAGTATGCCCGGTTAACATAGATCTATGTGTGATTACGTTTATGCTAGCCACAAGTTCCCTTCTCGCCTAACCCTACGACGTGTAACAGTCGGAGAGCCTGGTCGGTTTACGTTTATGCGTGGTTTATAACGCAGGACTTGTCGTGTCCCTGCCCAGAGTACTTACATAGATCTATGTGTGATTACGTTTACGCGTGGTTTATAACGCAGGACTTGTTGAGAGGCTGGCAGCGGGTGAGAGTGTCATCGTTGCTGAGGGCTATCTGTTTGAGTTTGAGCGGCGTGGTTACCTGAAGGCGGGACACTATGTACCGGAGGTTGTGCTCCAGCATCCCGACCTCGTCAGACAGCTTCACGAGGAGTTCGTACACGCTGGTAGCGACGTCGTGCTCGCCTTCACCGTACGTAGATGTGTATGTGTGTGTGTGTGTGTGTGTGTGTGTGTGTGTGTGTGTGTGTGTGTGTGTGCGTGCGTGCGTGCGTGCGTGTGCTTGTGCCAGTGCGTGTGCGTGTGCGTGC